ATCTGTAAGGTCCATTGCAACCCCTAAATCCTATTGATTCTATGACTTTGTGGGAGGGAGAGCAGCAAAGGTTGGTTTGAGGCATAAGCTTACCTGCTGGATGAACAAATGTCCCTTGTGCCTTGGGGGTTGCTGCAATGCTTCTGATACATCAATTTGGAGAACTTCCATGCATTTTATGACTTGTCATTGATCTCCAAGACTGTTCAGCTTTGTCCCCACCGTTCATACTTGATGTAATAGTTGGAGACAGAAGTCATTACCCACAATTTAATTAGGTCTCTGCGCTGCTGAAAACACTTCGTCCACATCAGAGATGACCAGCACAAGCAGCAAAACTCCTTAATAAGGAGATGCTGAAGCACAGTCATAAATCTGATTGTGTGACTATGAAATGCTAAAGCACAGACAAAAATTGGCCTTGGCTTTGCTCCCTAAAGTGCTCATGACTTCAGACTAAGTAACAGATCAGGCCTGGTTTAAACTGGGGCTCAACAAGGTGCAATTACTGGGCTAAGCAGCTCTCCTTCTCCCATTAAATGTCATCCCTCAGGATGAACCAAATCTTATATTTCCCTTTAAAAACCCTTAATCTTTGCAAGGCTCATCAGAGGAGAAAGGAACCTTCAAACCCTCCCGGGAAAATCCTCTGACTAAATCCATGTGCCTAAGCCAGAGGAACATTTATCCCACTGAAACCAACTATTTTCACAGCTTGAGCAGTTTATCAGCTGAAGTTTAATGTTGACTGTTCCTGCCATGAGTAGGAGGAGCATTAGGGCAGGAAGAATGACACTTTGCAAAGAGTCATTAAATCCTCCTTCAATTACTTATTAAATTACTTTTAATCCATTAAGCTCCAAGAGGTCATGGGAGCAGGAAGAGAGGAGGTCTGGAGAACAGTAAACATGACATATTCAAATGGCACAAAGAACAGTGCAGGCAAGGCAAAACTGCTGCCAGGTGGGTAAAAACAGGGAACAAACCCCAAACAATTCCATTTCTCCAGGCAAAATTACTGAGTTTACCTCCTGTGTGCAAACAGCTTTGACTCCTTTATAGATCTTCCCTGTGCACTGGCACGGGTTACCCAGAGCAGCTGTGGCTGCTCCATCCCTGGGAGTGTTCCAGGCCAGGCTGGATGGGGTTGGAGCACCCTGGGCTGGTGGAAGGTGTCCCTGGGCCATGGCAAGGGTTGGATTTAGGTGAGTTTTAAGGTCTCTTCCATCCCAAACTATTCCATGATTCTTAAAGCCTAAACTGAATTCCTCACACATTTCAAGTCCCCCACAAATCCAAACTCACCCAAGAACATTTCCTTAGAAACCAGAAGTCCCTGACAGAAAGGATCCAGTATTTTCCAGCAGACAAACTGATCTGACTAGCAGATTTATCACCTCGTCAAAGGAGCTGAACTTAATAGTTACACTGGAGGGTTCCAATTATGTGCTTTACTTCTGCTGCATGACAGCAATTTGAACACTCAAATTGCAGCCTGGGAGACAGAATTAGGTAGAGTTTCCTGCTGGGCCAGGACTGGCACAGGGTGGGTGTCTATAAAAGCTGAGGGGACAAGCAATCTCACAGGGCATTTTCCAGAGGAGAAGAGTTGGAGTTATTCTACAACCTCTCAGCCAGCAGGTAACGTGCTCCAACATCCCATATTCCCTTTTTCCTTAGTGTTTACAGATGCTCCTATTAAGAGAAACTTGGGCTAGAAGAGCCTGCAAAGAGCAGTTCCTACAGAGCAGGAACCAACCCAACTCAGCTCATCTGCCAAGCACCAACAGGGACTTGTATATGGAGCCTCTGAGGTCCAGGCATGCCTGAAGCTCTCAAAGGGTGCTCAAAAAGCCTCCTTTAGATCTTCACCCAAATTTGTCAGATGTCAAATCTCTTTCTAATGCGATAATCCACACTTTGAGAGGCTCAAAATTGAAGCTGTGGCTGTCACCCAGGCACGATGGGGGCAGATCACACCTGCAGAGTACATTGCAGGCACAGGGTGGGATTGTTGGGGTGTCCTGAGTTGGACTTCCATGATCCTTGTGGATCCCTTCCAACACAGGATATTCCATGATTCTAGTGATCCAGAAAGCAATTTTTATCATTCTCTAAGCTAAAATTGGAGCTCTAATGCCTTTATGACCAGAGAGATGCTTTTTTTTCTCTTACAGGATGGAGAAGTCCAGGAAGATCTTTACTGGTGTCTTCCTGTTTGTCTTGTCTGTGGGGATCTGCTTGGCTCAACACTGGTCCTATGGCCTGCAGCCAGGAGGGAAAAGGAATGCTAAGGACCTGGTGGAATCATTCCAAGAGGTTGGTTCTAGGCTGGAGAACAACCCTGAGCTGTACAAGGTGCAACCAAACAGAGGTGACAGACACTTTCCTGGGTGTTGTACATCTCTGTCTCTTTGCCCCAGATACAATTGTGTGTATAAGCACACATTTGTTTAGGAAGTGATTGGAAGGAAATTGGGTGAGATGGTATTGACTCCTTGGGACAAAGAACAGCAACCACAGAGCTTTGCAGCCACCTTGAAGGGAGAGATGGAGGTTTGAGGTCCTCATCATCCTCCCCCACGATCTCAGCCAACACTCTGATAGGCTCTTTTATGCCAACATTCATCCACTCCCTTAAAATCTTGGCAACTGGCATGTGGTAAGCAGTGAGATGTCAGCAATGAAATGCCAAAGCACACGTGGAAGGCTCTGACCACCAGTGGTTGTCCCATCCCATCCAAACTTCTCATCTAGCCCCTACTCACTAACTCACTATCCCACGGCAGCACCTGGGGAAGAGGTGAATTTGTGTAGTGAAACAGTTTTCATCTCCATCTATGGCTGAGGTAGAGTTGCTTTGGCAGAGAAATCTCCTTTCCTGAAGGTTCTATCCCTTCCCAATCCAGATTGCACAGGAAATGGCAAGAGCAGAGGAGGTGCAGCAGCCTGACTGGCCTGGCTCATCCCAGCACTCCAGGATCAGAGACCTGCAGGAAGCTGTGGTGAGTAACATGGTTTTCCTTTTATCACTAGGAGAAAACAAAGGGAAAGCACCTGAGGGAAAGGGAAAAAAAGGTGGTGGAGGAGGAAGGTGGGTATGAGTTTAGTCCACATGAGGCAATACTGGCTCTGCCCTTACAGAATCCCAGGATGGTTTGGGTTGGAAAGGACTTAAAGAGCATCTCATTCTGCCCTTTGCCATGGGCAGGGACATCTTCCACTAGCCCATTATCATTCTCAAGGTGTGGACACAGACCCCTCACTATTACCTGCATCATTCCCAAGCCCCTCAGAGCAACAGTCCTAGGACAGGGGCACATTATTCCAGAGCTCCTGGTGCAGCGATGGCATTACTCACCCAATTAACCCCAAAATAAAGTCACTCCACCTTAACACAGACAGTGCAGCATTCACAGCTGCTTAGCTTCAAAGGCTCATGGTGCCAGCTGCAGGATCAGCCAGATGGAAGCTGCTGCTCCCAAGGTCCCCAGGCTGGGAAATGGATTTTCCATTAGATGCTCTAATGCAATGACAGCAGAGGTTTCCCATGCAACCTAAGTGCCATGGAAGAAGTCCTCCCAGGCAAAAATGTGCTCTTTAATTAACAGAGCAACACCTTGATCAGGCCAGATGGTCACCACTCTCTGGGAAGTGTCTCTGAGCTGTTCCAAAGCTCAAACACTCAATCTGGACTTCACATTTGAAGCCAAGACCCAAAGTTTCAAGTACTTCCAGACACTTCAGCCTTTCACTGAGGAGCCTGAATGAGATTCAAACTCAGGCAAAAGAGTGCAGAGCCTGATTTTCATGCAGAAACTATCCCAAATTCCTAAATAAATACTAGTTTAGGTCATCTTTAATCCTATTTGTACTATTTGAACCTATTTGTACTATTTGAACATCCTATTTGAACATACAATGGATTTGTGGTCCAGGACTGACTTCCAACAGCTCTACCTGCAGAGTGAAGAGCCAGGTACACTAACTTAGTACATTTAGGCATTTTTTTTGACTGCAAGAGATTATGTTAGGCAGAAAAAGAGACCAGAATAATCACCAAGATATCTGGAATGAGTCCTTGACTCAGTGGCTCACTGAGGGAGACTTGGTCTGTGTTTGCAGAGCTGAAGGGACAACTCCCACCACATCCTTAGGTTTGTTCCCAAACTTCTTATCTCTTGCTGCTTAATGACACTGAAAACATACCAAACTTGCTCCACACAAAGCTTTTCCAATCTAATACATTCCTGGAGTTGCTACAGGAATATTACGCAGTGAAATGGGAGTGGCTGGAGATGGTTCACCCTATGGAAAAACTGCTCTAATTACCTTCTTCATTTCCTGGAGGAGCTGGGAGCACAAAAACTCACCTAGACAAGACACTTCAGGGAATAAAAGCTCCATATTCAGTTCATCTCTGTCCAAAACAGCTGAGGGCTTCAGCTCTGAGGGGAGCACATAAACAAGGAGGACAATCATCTCCTCTCAAGGAGGAGACACCAGGATGCAACGTAGGAACGTGGTTTCCACCCCAACTGAGGGACAGAGAGTGGTGCCAGGGTGACTATGCCACCCCTTAGTGACCCTTCTCCAAGCTCAGCTTTCTTGTCCCAGGTCTCCTGACCACCTGCTTCAGCTCCCAGAGCCACTCACACACTGCTCATGCTTCTCTCCTGTGCTGCTCTCTACGTGTGGTGCCCACAGCTGTTGGGTTGTGCTCCAAGAGCTGTGGCAGGGCTGGACCTCAAATAGATGTCCTGTTGGTCATACACTTTGGGATAAAAAGGGCCATTCTGAGTGTCAGTTACATTACCCTGGATGATCAGCCCCACAGGCAGGTGGCAGAGGGATTGTGTCAGGACAGATTTATGTCACTCTAATCCTCCTCCCAGAGCAGAGCACAAGAGCATCTGCCTGGCTTGGAAATTCCATCTTCAAAGCTGTTTCTCCTCTCTAAAACAAGTACGTGCTGTGTGTTTGCAGGAAAGGCTGATGGAGGGAGAAGCTGAAAAAAAGAAAGGTTAATCCCCAAAGCCAAATGGAACAACAGACCAAGACCAAGGATTCAAAGCTGTGTTAGCATCAGTTCCTCTTCACGTGGCCTTGGCTTAGCTCATAATGTCAACAAATGTTCTGAAGTTGCATTTAATAGTAGAAAATAACTGTGTAGGTTACCTAGATTCTGTGTAAGAGGCAAAACCCAGTGTGAGGTGGAGCAGCAGCACAGGAGCTGCTTCGTGTCCTGCTCTGGGAGTTTGGATGTGAGTTTTGTTTCACATGCACAGACAAAAACCTCTGTCTGATCTCACTAATCTCTGGATGAAACAGCAACACAACTTTGTTGAAAACTCCGAATAAACTCACTGCTGGAATGTGACTCCCCTTGAACCTCAGGGCTCTGTTTGTGACAGACTTCTCTGTGCTCTTTTCCTGACTGGTTCACTCATAAAGACTACATTTATTTTCAAAAGGTATTTACAAACTTTACAACAGTCAATACACTTTTTAAAAAAAAACAACACCCATGAAAATTTATACACCTTTGCTTTACAGACTTAGGGAATGACATGTCATTTACCCAAAGCTCCTACTCTCCTCAGAGTCAGCTTCGAGCTGTTGGTTTTTTGCTGTTTCAGCTGCAGAGGACTAAAAAAATAGGGGGGAAAAATGTACTTTCAGCCTGCAGAGGTGAGTTTTAATTATACCACCACATCCAGGAACCCCAAAACACAAAAAAAACATGTGCCACATCAGCCAAACTCTCCTGAATTCACCACAGACATGTGCCAAGGTTTCCATGATCAAACTTTTCTACCACCACAGTGAGAAGTGCCATCATCAATCAACACCACTTTGGGGCTGCATTTGGGAGCTGCTGAGGACTTGCACCTCTGTCTTGAAACACAAACCAAAAGACCACGAACCAAACAGGGTCAAGGTGTGCAGAGCTGCATGTCCAGGGGCTTTCAGTGCCTGCCCTGACCCACACAGACCAACACACCATAAACATGATTTTCCACCCCTCTAACCTCCTCAGGGAACCTTCCAGAGTGTCCAACCTGCCCTAAAGGAACTTTAATGAATGTTAATAGGAGCAGAATCAGGTGAACCTTGGGTAGTTTTGAACCTTTTCTGCCATGCAAGCAGTGAAATCACATTATTAATAGTCTATTTTTTCCTGCAGTCCTAGGAAAAGCTCCTCCTGGTGCCCTAGAGAATTTGGTCTGCAACAGGAAATACAAGATAGAGGGAGATGGGTCAGGAATCTGTTAAATTACAGATTTAAACTTAATACTTTCCATTTACAATGCTAAATATAAATAAGGAGAGAAAATCTGAGGCATCAGCACCACAAAGTCACTGTGAATCTAGAGTAAACACTGGGCTGAGGGTGGGGAAGTTATTGGCTACAGAGTCCCAAGAAACCACTGCAGATCCCTTGTGATGTTTTGTGCCGCTGCAGATCACAGAGTGCTCTCCCTGGACTCACTGCCCTTTCCTAATCCAATAATCCACTGAAAGGCAAAGCTGTCTGCTCCTCTCTCCCCCTGCTGTGGATTAAAGCTAAGGGAACTTAGCCCAGCATGACCAATTTTAATTAAAAGCTCCAGAAAACAAGTGTTGAGCAAATTTCTCCAAAGGAAGAAAGACAAGATAAAACCCTCAAAGAGACTAGAAATTCAACACTAGCTTTGAACAGCATTGCTATGGAATGGGATTAGGCTTTGCCTTCTCTGCAGCCTGGATATCTAACTCGGAGATTTGTTTTAGTCCAAGCTAGGAACTGGGTAGGAACACCTCTTTTTGTTCATTTCTGATCATCGTTTAGTGACTGCTCCACTCCCATTTTTAGCCCTTCAGTTTAAAACACATTAGAGACATCTCCAAAAGGATCTGATTTACATGGTAATGTGATTCTCAATTGAAAAACTACGCAGAGACACCTCAGATTGTCTCGGAAAATTCAATCTCAGCACTGAAGTCAGGCAGACACTGCAGCCAAGAGCAGAACACATCAGGGATCTGCTGGGATTTCTCCAACGTGTGGGCACTTAATTCCACCTCATTAAAGCCAGTCAGGCCCCAGGTTTGCTCACACACTTAAATGCCCAATTGCCTTTGAAAATCTGACACACAAATGATTTTTTTTTCTACCACTGGCACAAAGCCCTGAGTCATTCAGGCACAGAACAGAGATTCCACCTTGCAGCTCTGAGCCAGCGATGCTCGGTGGGGTCAGGCAGGAGCTGAAGCCTTCACACCCCTTAGTCACTCACAGGGGTAAGGAAACTGAACACCAGTTTGGGGGTAGTTTGCCCAAAAGCAAGAAGGAGAAGTGGGGAGAGTTTACAGCACTTCAGACTAGAATAAAAGTGATGCTATGAAAGAAAAAAAAAATCAGTCAAATTAAACCCTAAAGGCAATGGAAATGCCCAAAGTATCTTGAATAGGAAAACCTCCTTGCTCTATTCTCTATAGGTGTCAGTTGCTCCAGTTCAGGTGATGCCCACACCAGTCCCCAGCGGGGCAGACAACAAAGGCAGTGAGAGGAGAAGTCTGAGTGGTGCAGAGAGAAAGCCAAGGGGAGGTGTAAGGAACCTGTGAGACAGTGCAGCTGTAAGGCAGAGCACACCTAGAGTTACCACCTTCACTGCTGTCTGAGGCTCCGTAAGCCAAAGCTGAAAATCCAAATGAAAGGCTCTTTAAGCTCAAATTACACCAAGCTCTGAAGTTTCCTCCACTTTTGCAGCACTTGGAGGTGTTACAGCCACCTCCCTCTCACCGCCCCTGACTCTCTAGACTCTCCTGTCTCTAGGTGGGTTAGCACACAGGAACAGCACGGGGCAAAGACAGTAACTGTTCTCACTCCTAGTGCCTGGCAGAGGGAAGAAAAGGAGGGGAGAGAGTAATTAACCACTTACATGCCAAGTACTCTGTTCATAAACTTAGACCCAAAGCTTCTCAAGCTAAAGAGCAAAATGTAAAGGACATCAAAGACAGCTCAGAAATTCTTCCTCCTCCAGTGATCTCTTTGCATAGACTTGTTCCCTCCTCCAGGAAAAAAACCTGCACAAGGTACATCTACAAGTTAAAGTCATTAAAGCAGAATAAAAAGGCTGGAAAACAAGACTCAGAAGTCACTTGGAACCAAAGCACCCAAACCTGACAGTCTGTTTACCCACACAGGCAAACCACTGGCTGGGATTCCTACATGGTCTCCTTTGTTCCCGCTCACTTAGCACAGGAGTTCAAAGCCAACCTGCTCTGGAAAGGAAATGCACCCAGGAACGAGGTAACAGCAGAAGCAGAGAGGGCAAAGGCTCTGAATTAACAATAGGTGCTGTTAAGATGCACTTTCAGACAGCTCAGATAACATCCTGTTGTTCTGCCTAGAGCAAAATTCTCGCCCAAGACAAAAAAGTTCTTGTTGAAGTTGCAGAGGATCCTTTGAGTTCATGTGAGCAGCAGCAGCAGGAAGAAAGTGATTACAAGAGGAGGAAGAAGTGGACAAGAAATGAAAGATAAAAAACCCTGGGGTTTTCCAGTCAAGCAGTGTCTACATCCCAGAACGTAATGTGGCTCTGACATGTCCTACAATGCACCAGGGAGAGGGAGAACCTGGTCAGGGTGTCCAGGAAGGTTTCAGAGCTCTCCCCTGAGAAGCAACAGCCCAGAGACAGCTGGATGTGTGTGCAGCAAACAGGCTGTGCACGGATGTGATGTGACTGCAGTGCAACCTCCACAACGTCTCCAGCCTGGATGTGATGTGAATCCAGGATGACTCTGGGATGAAGGCAATCTGTTTTACAGAGCCAGGCAGGCAGCACAGCAGCTCCTGCAGCCACACCGAAGCCAAACGAATACACAACAACAAAAGAAAGAGAAAATTCGATCTGGAAAAAAAAAAACCCCACACAACCCAAAGTTCCATTGGGTTTGTCTATCCCTGAAAAAAGATTTGCTGGGAAAAAATCTTTCCTTAGGTTTAACAAACTTCCATTTTTCACTAAGGTATAAAACCCATTTAAGTCAGGTGAGCAGAATAACTGCAGTGGCCTCAAACCCAACCCAACAATAATTGTGTTTGCTACTGTGAGCAACATCCTCAGCAAGTGTTTGGTGGCTCTCAGTTTCTACCAGATAATCAGAAGCTAAACAGCAGTTGCATTCAAGCAAAATTATTCCCTAGAAGGAAGAGCTCATGGCAAAATCTTCATCAATACTGATTATAAAATAACCAGGCCACAAGCTGTAACCAAACAGTTCTGCACAGGTTCAGAAATAAACGTGGATCCAAATTCCTCGACTTCCCCTTTAGGATGAGTTTTAAGCAACTCTGAACCCTCCAAACAGTTTGAATCTAAACAAAGCAAATTCCAATGTTACCTGAGTCAAAGGGAACAACAACACGTCATTTTTTGCCTTTCCCTGGCAAACATCAGTGAGAAATAACAGCCAGGACACATTTAGGACAGTTCACTATGCAGAATGGCAGAGCTAAATCCTCTGCCTGAGTGGGTCAAGGGAGAAATCCTTACAAATGAAGGAAACCTCAAACTCAAGTTGCTCTTCTGCTGCAGAAATGTGGCAGCAAGAGGCAGCTGCAGCTCTGGGAGTGAGCCATTAGTGATGCTACACAAAGCTTCACTTATGCAACTTGACAAGGGAAGCGAGCTCTTCACGATGCATCAGCATTGACACAGGCAGTTTGGGGCCATCCTGCTCCACACAGCAGGACTCCAGCGGCGGCTCAGGCCCAGGAATGCTGTGACTCAGGCTCATCTGGTCCAGACATACCCCTGGTATTTGAGTTTTTAGTCACTATGCAACTGTAAGCACAGGCTATTCCTGCAGTGCCACAGCCTTTTCTGCAGGGATCAGAGGGTTTGAAAGACACTGAAAACCAACATCATGTTGTTTTTTTCTCTGTACAAATGCAGAGGCTGATGCTGACACCCAGACAGAGCAGGGAATACAGAACTAAAGAAACATTAAACAGATTATCCCATCCTCCAAGGAAAGAAAAGAGGGCAGTAACCCAAGCAACAGGGAACGAGGTGGTTAATTGGCAACTCTTTCACATGCATCCCAGACATAAATGGCTCCTGAAAGTCTAGTGGCTATTAAAAACCTGAGTGCAAGTACTGCCACAAAGGGCTGCAGGGAAAAGAAAGAGGATTGTCTGGATTTGTGTGAAGTTGCTCAGCCACAGTAAAGGTTACAGCAATTAGCAGACTCGTTTTCCTGAGGTCAGGAAGGACAATTGGGTTTGCACACTCCATCCAACCAGTGCAGCTGGTACCAGTCTGGTCCTGGTGCCAGTGTAGATGGTACCAGTACAGTTCTGGGATCACTGCAGCTGGTACTGATACAGCTCTGGTACCAGTGCAGGTGGCACCAGTACCACCCTGCTGTCACTGCAGCTGGTACCACTATGTCCTGGTATCAATGCAGCTTCTATTCATCTCACATATTCACAGGAGAGACTTTTTACACCCCATTATAAAGCACAAAGATGAAGCTTCATCTCAAGCCCCAGATGAAAGCACCAACCAAGAACATAACATAACCCAGGGAAGAAATCTCAGCTGCTCTGTAGTGTTAAAACCAGTCACATCATAACAAGATACTGGTGAACCTAACATGTCCACCGAGAGTGAGAAACTGCCACCACTGGAGCACAGCAGGTGTAAGGCAGTGTCTGCACTTCATCTCAGACATGTGTGATGATGAGCAGAAAAAAGGCTTCTTGTCCTGCAAACAGTGCTCAGGTCTCTGACTGCAATCAGGAATCTTAGGAGACTGCACATCACACACCAACACCTGACAGCTCAGGAGCTGCTTCACCACGGAGGAATGGCTGGGATGTTTCACTCCAGGCAGGGCTTGGCTGTGCCACAGTGGAAGGATCACAGAGACAGATGTGAAGCTGTAAGGAACTCACATGAAAATGCTGCTGGACACACCTCACCCCGGTGTGGCTTCAGCCCCTGGTGCAAATCACTCCTGGGACAGATTTATACTAGGAGGGAGTTGCTAGAATTGCAGCAGTGGAAAAACTCAGGCCAGACAAGGCTAAGACAGACAGGAATTCCAGGAGAGTGACTTCTACCACGGGTTAGTGTCTCATACTGCACAGGTGAACCAGAGGTTAGGGAACACAGTCACAATATCAGTTCCTTTTGATACTTCCCAAAGAGAACTCGCAAAGGGAGTCAGTGGAATGGCAGGTGAGATCAGCAGTCTGTGGGGTCGGGAATGGGAAAGCAGCCCCTCCACTCCGGGTCTTGCTGTGAGAACAGCAGGGGAAGGTCCTCAGTCCTCACTGCAGTCCTTGTTCCGAGGAGACAACGCTGGATTTCCTGGTTTTGGGGGGTGGAGGGGGAGGTTTGGCTTCACGTCTGCTGGGCAGTGGTGGAGCAACCTGAGAGCATGAAAACACAGCAAAAGAATCTGTTACTGGCAAGTGGAGACATTTTGCTCGACCAAATGAGAAAGCCAAAATGTCCTGACGTTTCTTTCAGGTCCAAATCTTTGAACTCAGCTTCTCAGCACCACATTCAATCCCTGACAGGGCAAACAAGGACACATCCCCAGGAGGGAACAGAAACAGATATGATTTAGTTGCTAAAATATGCTACTGCATAGACTTTCATTGCTTCTGACCTGCAGCCTGACTGTGCCATTTGTTCTTCTGTCCCAGCAAAATGGCAATAAACCCATTTCCTTCAAGGTTTCAAAACTCAACTATTTATATCTTGATGAGCTGCACAAGGAAGGGCCAAAAGAATGTAAAATGCTTCCAAAGGAGAATGGTAAAACTAACACTAGAAGAATGGTAAACCAACCATGAAATCAGAGCAAGTTCTAAATTAAACAAGGCACATCCTTCTTGCCAGCACAAGGGGTTGTAGGATGTGTCTTGCTCCTGCAGAAACCTGCACTGGTGGGTTCTTTCAAGGCTATTTTCAGGGGCATCCTGTGCATCAGTGAGGAGGGAAAGGCCAGGTGAGCAAGAGGTTTGTGTGGCTCACCAATTCTTAGCCAAACCTGTTAAGATTTCAGGACTATTTCAACCAAAGGAGGACAGAGACAACAGCAAAGCAACAAAACCCTTCAGAAAATAGTTTACAACCTCTTTCCAGCCCTTGTGAATTCTCTTCCTCTGGCTGCAAGCCAAGGGCAATGCTGCAAGCCAGAGCATGTTAGTAATTAGTTTCTGTATAAGACTCCAGGGAAGGAAGCTCTTTCATTAATCCCCTTGAACCAGTGACTCCTACAGAATCCCTGGAGCTGGGACAGCCAGTCACACACCACAGCAGCCACACTGGCTGTTTCTATAGTCACAGTTCCAACCAAATGAAGGGCAAAGCACAAAACCTCCTCCTTATCCCATGCTCCAAGGCTTTATGCCAGTGTCACAGCACAGAATTAAGTGTTCAGATGTTTTCCTGTGCTGCCAGAGGTGAAGTATTTAAGGGTGATCATTCTTTACATTCTTTTTGGTTAAATTCCAGTTCATCTCACTAAGGTAACTCCCTAATTCTCTGCAAATTGGGCTGGGGAAGACATCTATCCCTTTCACTTACAAAAGGATGCTTCCTAATTGGGCTTGGGAAGACATCCATCCCTCTCACAACCACAGGAGGATGTTTTCAGCTCACCCACTGGTGAGCAACGACAGTCTGGGATCAGAACCACCTTCATTTCAGGGGCAGGAGAAATAATTCCAACACAAGTACCAGAGTATTGGCACATCAGGGATTCCAAATAGCTTGCAGACAGCACAATGTGAGAGAGCATCAGTGATACAGCATTAAAAAAGTGGCAATTTGATGTTCCTAGAAGAAAACCACTTGATGGAATTGAGGCAGAGGCTGTGGCTAGGGCAGTGTTTAATGAAAGACAGTGCTCTGGTCTAGTTGCCATGGTGGTGTTAGATCCTAGGTTGGATTTGATGATCTCAGAGGTCTTTTCCAACCTTAATGATTCTGTGATTCTCTAATAAAGACTCAAATCACTAATGCCATACAAAAAAGAGATTCTTCTGAACTGAGGACTCAAAGGGAATTTATCACCTCTGAAAATGTGAGAATTTTTCTCTCCTTCTTTTTCAGGCCCAAATTCTTGCACTGTTTTACACTGATGATGGTTTTGAAACCTTTTGCTCATGTTGCTTGTTTGTTTTCAGTCTCTCTTCCCACCCCCACACAGTTTGCCTGACCAAGGACAACAGAACTCCTACTTGGAAAAATAGACTGTTAAGGGGTTGGAATGGACCTTAGGTATCATCTAGTCCCTTTTTAGTTAGGGAAATAAAAACAGACAGCAATCCATAGCCTTCTCTCGAAGCAAAAAAACTTCTTTTGTGGTTTCAGGGAGTGAACTAGTGAAATGATTAGACAAGTTTGAGGCAGCACCACCCTAGAAGCAGCTTGGAAAATCCCACCGATGCCTCCTTCTCTAAAGCTGTTTTCCAAAATCCTGTCAGCTCTCATTTCCTCACCTCCACAGAATTCCTGGGGTTGCTGTTCTCATAAGGTTTGCTTTTGGGTGGAGGAGGAGGTGGAGTTGCCAACCCATCAGCTTGCAAAGAGGGAAAACCTAGAAGCAACAACAAGAAAAGCCTTTAAAATAGGTGGAAAAGGAACAGGAAATGGGATAGAATTTGAAGGTGGATTTATTTAGCATCTTGTGTTTTCCATCTGCTAACAGTTCTCTGGCTTAGCATCTGAACCTGACTGGGTATGTTGGACTCACAGTTGTATCTCCCTCAAGTTCCAAATGCCCAGAAGAGTTTTATCTTCACCAAATGGCTCTGAGCTTCTGTGAGACCTCCACGCCTGAGAGAGCACAAATCTGCATCCATTAGCACATCTGCAGTGTTCACTGGGGTCTCCCTTCAGCTTCAGCCTCCACCTGAGAATTCACTTTGATTCTAACTGCAGCCGATGGAGGAGAGAAGTACCCAAACTTCAGAAGGATTCCTGGCCTGCTCCTAATGGCAGTGAAACCCCCTGGGCTAAGGGGAAGAGTGAGGTCTCACATTCCTTTACTGATGTTTCTTCCTAGACTATTCCTGCCTTGGTTTGTGTTTCTAGGTGGCTCTGAACTCCATATATGATGTGCATAGACATATATGTGTATAAGGTTTTAATCCCCTCACAACAATTTTATCCTGGTTTAGTTCATTACCTACAGTGGATTCTGTATTTATATCCACTCATGAACTTCTGTTCCTTTACAAACCTGAGTGGGGTGAGAAATGCCACAGGAAGGAAACTGTCAGGGTGACACTGCACAGGGATTTTTTTTCCTTAAGCCATATTTAAATGTTGCCTCAGAATTAACTACAGAACTTACTGGACATTCATTGGAGGCTTTTTTCCCCCCTTCTTTCCCCCCTTCTCTATGGATCTCAAATGATGTTTTTGTAACTTGTGCACAAATCATTCCTTTTGCTAATTCATCCATATAAATTCCATCTCTTTCAGATGTAACATTCCCCAGCTGAGTTCCCAACCTGCACAGCAAGTTCTCCTAGAGTTGCTTTGCTACGTAATTGATGGGAGTTTGTTCATTAATTAACAAAACCTTCAGGGCTTGCCCAGGAAATGTAACCACTGAGCTGATCAGATATACCACACACTGCATAGTGCAGGTCCAGCCTGTAGGTTCACAGGAGATGCTCTCCTAGACCTGACCTGATCACCTACACTCTCTGCATGGGATGTTCTCCTTGAGATTTAGTAGACCTTCCCACAAGTCATAGAACCATGGAATGGTCTGGGTTGGAAGGATCTCAAAGATCATCTTGTTTATCCCTGCCATGGGCAGGGACACCTTCCACCAGCCCAGGCTGCTCCAGGCCCCATCCAACTTGGCCTGGAACACTCCCAGGGATGGAGCAGCCACAGCTGCTCTGGGCACCCTGTGCCAGAGCCTCAGCACCTCACAGAGAGGAATTCCTTCCCAATATCCCATCTATCCCTGCCCTCTAGCAGTGGGAAACCATTCCCTGTGTCCTGTCCCTCCAGGCCCTTGGAAATAGTCTCTCTGTATCTTTCTTGTAGCTCCTTCAGGTACTGGAAGGTGCAATTAGGTCACATACAAGTCAACATGGGAGAAAACAAGAAAGAAATTCAAACAAGGAAGAAGTGTTGTCTGGAATTCCTCTGACACACTCATTTGAACAAGTGATGTGTAAGTCACAAATACGATCCTAGATAACACTGCCAAATTCTGCTATCTGACAAAAACCTCTACAAACATTAACAGCTCAGAGTCACTTTCTGTGATTTAATTCAGAGCAGTCCCTCCCTCCCTCTGCCCCTCCCTCCCCAGTGAGATTACCTCAGCAAATACAGAGAAATTTCTCTATTATTCCTCCAAAAGAACTTACTTTGAGTCCTTGGCGTCTTGGGGGTGATGGGTGGTGGGCTACAAGTGGACTGCTGGAGCGAAGAGCCCTGAAGCAAAGTCAGTCTGTTGTCTCCTAACTGAAGACTCTTTGGCCTTTGTGCTTTTCCTGATGTGCCCTGGTTGGAAGAGAGAGCAAACCCTTCAGAAGTCAGGCAGGTTGCAGCAGGGAATCAGAGCTGTCACAGAGGCATCACTGTGCTCCACAAAAGCCAGGCAGGAGAGAGAAAGGTGCACTCAGGTGAAACAGGAGTGAAACCTCTGTGCTGCCTCAGCTGTGGCACAAGGCACATGCTGTGCTCCTAGGACACAGTCAGTTTTCTCTGGGACCTCACTAGGTAGCAAGAGCAAAGTGGTTTTAATGACCTTAAAGGATTAATTAAGGCCGAGGAACTGCTGCAGTTCTGTGAGCACATTTTAGAGGGTTTTGGGGGTGAATCTTTCCAAGTAAAAGAGAGAGAATTCTGGGTGCAGGACAGGGTGTGGTATCATCCAGCTCCTTAGGGCTATGAAATGTCTATTTTAGGCTTTACAGAGCAAACTTCTTGCATCTGGGGCTCAAGAGATGCTGTTTCAGCTCCTTCATGTCATGTGTCCTCTGTGCTCTTCACTCCAACCAAGAGGCCACCTGAGTATGGTCCCAAGAGTCCAGTGCATGGATATGCAGGTCCTTTTAAATAGCAGCTGATTGTTTTCCAGAGCAGGCTGCCACTTCCACGGGTAATTAAACTCACTGGGCTCTTTTAGAGCTCAATTCTCCATCGCTGAGCAGTCCAGGCTTTCTCTTCTCACAGAAGGGACCACACACCGGTGAACATAAAACCTATAAAGTCCAAAGCTGCTGTACACACAGCAAGTCTTTGCTTCCCTTTGGTTTTCCAGCTCCCAAGCAGCTTAGTCAAGATCTGTATGAAATCAGTCAGTCCAATTCCTGCACTGTACTCTGCAGCCATAGAACAGAGCAGATATAAATGCAGCTTTCCCTGTGCTCTGCAATGCTCTCCAGCAGGGCTGGAATCCCTGACTGCTCACTGCCTTCAGTGAGCTGAGCACACATGGAATTTGCCCTCAGAGATACACCAGGGAGAAGGGAAGGAGGGTGTTGTGTTTGCATCTCTCTGCAAGGCAAAGTCTTGGACAGACATTCCCAGCAAACTGCTCAGTACAAATGGGTTTTATCCCAGATACTTTTTCCTCCGTAGTTTTACTTACAGCTGACATCAGTGTTTGAGGGTTACACTCACTTAACTCAACAGCAGCTCTTCCAGAGGCAGAGGGCCAGGCCCCCCAAGCCACTGACATTTACAAGCCCCAATTTTCCTGGACTGGAAAGCTTATCCATACCCAATGCCATGATCCTAGAGACACAGTTCCCCTGCTTACAAACATCCTGCAGCCTCCAAGTGCTGGCAGCTTTGCTCAGGTTTGATGAGAGTTCCTGCACATACATCAGCATGACCTGTTCCTGCCAGACTCAGTTGAGAACTTGGGAGAGAAAGGGAAATAGAAGAACTCATGTTTTCTCATTACTTACACAGCTTGTGCTAAGGCAGATTAGTATCACCAGCTGAAATGCTCAGGTGCCCAATTCTCTCAGACTCTGACAGTGTAACACAGTCTTTGCATCCATCAGGATAATACTCTGAGGTCATACAACTCTACCTGTGGGTTGAAACTTATCCATGTGCATTGAGTGATCACTCTCAGTCCCACAGTCAACCTTAACAGCCTCCAAAATATTCCTCATTACAACCTCCTGTGGGGGCAGAGATTCTCTTATGCAAATCACCTGCTCAAGGAATAAACCCTCTGCCCTCACACAGGAGATCACAGCCTGGAAGGATCAGGTTTGCAGAGTCCCAAGCTGGTGACCTAACCAGCATCCTTTCTCAACTCCCCCATCTATCAAACTGACCTTCACCTCCCAGCACATTTGATTTGTGCAGTGATGCTGACTGAGAGCAGCTGAACATTTGGCTTGGCAGCTGGATCTCTGCCTGGGCTAGCAGGGTCTGCTTGCTCCAACCAAAACAGAACAGCTCTACACGGTGCTGAGAGCATCATGAGGCCTCTGCTCTGACACAAAACAAGGGCACTGAGCACCTAGGTGAACTATCAGTGCCTTCTGCTTCCAGCTTGTACCTCCAGCCAAACTGCACTTGGGGCTGTGACATGAATTTTCCAAATCCAAAGGAATTACTCAGATGACCAAGGGTTCTGCTATGTGAACCCCTCCCACTATTTAATGCAGTTCCCACTGACCAGCAATGAAAGTAATGGAAACTCTCAGATCTCCTGCTGGGGACTTCACTACTGCTGGCATTATGATTTCCTTACCATTTTGGAAGTCAGTTCTGTTTCTGGCTCCCTCTCCACAATAACCTGAGACTTGCTAATGCTCCACTCCTTCCTCTTGCCTTTGCTAATCCTGTTATCACCATCCTCTTTCATGGGCACATCCTCAGGTCTGGAAGATGCTGAGGTCCTTCTCTCCAAGAGAGGCTCCAGGATAGATCTGTGGCCCAAAAGAGTGAAAAAACATGAGTCCATCAGACATTTAAAACACTGCTAGTTAAAAAACCTTAGTTAGTGAAAAGCCTCAGATCCCTCAGTTCGCAGAAGAGATTATTGTGCAAAACTGAGTTACGATTATGGATTTTTCAGTGAGATTTTAGCTCAGTTACCCCAGAAACTCTAAGTATTGTATCTTCTGCCCAAGGTAAAGTGCTTGCAGAGGGAGTCAGAACTGCAGTTTAGGCTGAGCTGTGCCACTGAGTCTGCTGAGTGTCCCTGATCAACTCACTTAAACTCTCTGGTTAGCACAGGTGTAAATTAAATGCACACAGAAGTAACACCAGGAAACATTTCCATGTGTGGCAGGTCTAATGCCATGGATGCAGCTGCAAACAGGGTGTAACAACTACTGTGTGACTTATGTGCCTCTTTGCTGAGCACACCAAAATCAACCTCTCCGTAGTATCTTACACCTCTGTTTTCCTGGGAAAGAGGGTGGATCTGAAATACACTCTGCATCCCTCTCCAGGGTCATGTGGATAACTGGGCCTCCTGAGACAGCAGGTGTGGGTCCAATTCCCACAACCATCCGTGCTCCACACTCCCTATAAATGTAATAACATTGCCCTTCATTAAAGGATTCAATGCCTAAGTATTACCACGGAATAAATCTTTTAAGAGTAACTAATCCTGGCAAAGTCATATTCCCACTCTTGTGGAACCCATGCAAGGCTGGTACTGACCCATCTGAGCCTGGTCTGGAGGAGGTGCTGTCAGATGAGGTGGAGGACGTGGAGACCACAGAAGAGGCCACAGAGGTGACTGAGAGCCGCCTGAGCGTGGAGGACATGATGTAGGGCAGCACCACAGAGCCTGACCTGCTTGGCTTCCTCTCAGTGAGGGAGGGAGGCTGCAAAAACACACAGGAGAAATCATGTGCCAGTGAGGATTGGTGTCCCTCAGGGGTCGATGCCGGGGCCAACACTTTTCAACATCTTTGTCAGTGACACAGACAGGGGATTGAGTGCACCCTCCGCAGGTTCGCTGACCATACCAAGTGTGTGGGGCAATCACAGCTGGAGGGAAGGGATGGGACATCCAGAGGGACCTTGACAGGCTTGAGAGGTGGAACAATGCAAACCTCATGGAGTTCAACAA